ACAGATCTCTCATCTTTTTAAGTGGGAGAACTTGCACAATTGGTGGCTGACTAAATACTTTTTTGCCCCACTGTACCTCTGTTGATGCAACCCAGGTAGATGAGGATGCAGAAAATGGGGCATATTTAGCAAGACCTTTCCTGGAATCACCTAGTATTCAGCTTCAAAACTACACAAATGGGTATTTGTTCAGGAGTTCAGAAATCATCAGATTGTATATGTCTCAACATGGCTATTCATTGAAAGAGCTTTAATTTCAAAGATATTAAATCAGTTACAAATCACTCACTGTGTTTCTCATTGGACAGCTGGTGATGCTATTGGTCAAAAAATTTTAAGCCTCTATTTTGCCTTTTCCTGCTCAGTAGTTAGAAGTAGTAATGGGAAAAAATAGTAAAATCACAAATGAATGCTGATATTGGGGCACCGCCTTAGTAATATTTTGTGTAAATGCTCCACTATTCATCATCAGAGACTCTTAAAAATATACAATTTCTTCCATGGACACTTAGCATCTCAGAAATCTCAGTCACTGCAGCTTTGATTGAGTTAGGAAACTGAAGATATTGAGGATACTTTGTTTCAGTAAAGAGTGTTAGCAACAGTGCAAATATATTTTATCCTGGTTTGCAAGGACTTACCAAGGTGGTTCTGAAGAAATAAAATAAAGGCAAGGCCTGCTTCTTCACTAGTAGAAGCATACTAGTTAATAGCGGATTTTGTATCATAGCCTGAAAGGCTATTTTCTGTATTGTAACCTAAAATTATACTCTGTATCTGAGGGTGCTTGCAATCCTTTGGAATATGCTGAACTTGCAGCTAAGGGAGGTCTTACAATTCCATTGATTAAAGTTATTATTCTAACAGTGAGTTCTGGTATCACCAAAAAGCAGGTAGTTGCTTATCATAGCTTGGATTCATATTTCATTGATTCTGATATTTTCCATCCAACTGAGCATCCTCAAGGTGTTTTCAGTATAATATTGATGTATAGTTCAGTTGCAAGTTAACAGTTCTAAAAAGAAAAAAAAAGCATAAACATAGACTGCAGAAGTAGCAGGGTGATTCTAAAACATTTAAGATCCAATGAAATTTCATCTGCCTTTTGCTCCAAATACCTCAAGAATGAATATAGCCATAATGCCATTACATAAATGCTCAAATACCTAAACCTGATACTTGCCTGCATTCATCCCTTCCAACCTGGTTTCAGAAAATTCCCTCTGCCCTTATATACCTTGAATCTGAATTAAATTGGAGTTTCATGTGATAGCAATCCTCACATGCCTACTAGTCACATCAGCTGCTTTCCTTTCCTCTACCCCCAAACTTCATTATATTATAGCATGTTGCAGTGATGAATCTTGTCTTTTGTGAATTTAGGAAGGCATTATTTGCTCAACTAGCCTACCGTTATTTCTATTCTGGTTGGCAACATTACTCATTCCTTGACCTCTTAAAAATAAAACAAAGTAAGAATTAAAACTGGAAATGCCTCAGACTGAACCTGGAACCTTCTTGATACATGTTCTGTCACTGAGATGATTGCTGGTGATAGAAGTATTAATAAAGTATGACTGTCTCCTATAGTGATACCTGGTGTTTGATTCCACATTTTGTTAAAAAGCATTAGCTTTTGTGCCCTGCAGCTCACTTCATCAGATTTTGTGCTGTCTATTAGAAGCAACTGGCTTTTTTGAGCCTCATCAAAGGATAAATTGATTCTTTGAATGTCTTCAGGCTATAAGTCTTGAAGAAAGGAAACTGCCTTAAAACTGCTATGTTCAAACTTGAATCAAAATCAGTCATACTGCCTTCTAACTGCTTTTACATTTCAGGCAAGATCATGCAAGTATTTTGCCTTTGTAGTGAAATGGATTCCCTGAGCTCATAACTTGGCATTAGCTGTGTTTTAAAAAAAATGTTGCTTCTCAATGAGCTGTTCTGATGACACATCTATGAATGAAGTTCTGTCAAACACAGAGCTGCAGTCATGTTTCTGCATAATCTTTCAGTGGATGCTGTGCCACTTGGTACAGGGCAAACCTTTTAGAGTTGTTAATAATTTGAATGCCTCTTTAGAAAACCAGCTGCACCATCCTTTTATATGTGTTACACAAAAGCAACAACTGACACAAGAGTAACTAACTACACAAGACCTAGGAGCCTTAATTAATCAAAGTTGATATTTATGCATTTTAATTTTTAATAAATCCTACTGAAGTTTGGTGAGATTCTTTGATACTTGACTTATTTTTGTATGCTCAGGATTTAATTATATAAAATAAGCTAATATATGCCAAATATTGTACATGTGTTGAGATGCTTTGGTTGCTTTAAGATATTTCATTTACAATGTCTCTGGAAATATGAGAAATTTGTTCCCAAGTAAGTATAAATGATGACATCAGTGTGAAACTGTATAAAGTATGAAGATTGAAGAGGTTTCTTTTGCTTCCTCTCCTTCTTATCTGTGTTTAAGGATTATTTTCTTCATCTTCGGAGAGCACAAAACCACATACTTAATGCAAAAATATATTCTGTGGTCCTTCTTTCTTCAGGTCCAGAACATTCATGGAGCATTCAATGCACTGGAGGGAACAAACAAACTCAGTTCAAACCGTACGTACAATTTGTAGCATTCAGGAGCTCATCTGCTGTTAGTACAGAATTCATGATTGGAGAGGCCTATGAAAATTAATCAAATTGTATTACTGGTGGTTTTAAGCAATGAAATAAATTTGGGATGTACAGACTTGATTTCCCTGGCTATAAAAGAGGCCCAGATCAATTGTCTATAACATCTTTCTCCAATGTGGTAGTCTTCAGATACATTTGAATACATAATTCTCAGCCAGCCTAGTCACTGGCCATGCTGGCTAGGAATTATAGATGAGTACATCTGAAGAGCACCAGGTTGGGAAAAACTGGTATCTTGATGCTTCATACTGTTGATGTGCTCTGCAGCCAGGGGTTTGTTGATTACTGTGGCTAGCTGGAGATGTATGATACCTGAAGAATAATCTTATTCTTATGAACTTGTCTCTAAGGGCAACCTCATAAGACTAGTTGGAGTTGTCCTTCAGAGATTAGCTGCAGCTCACAGAATCTTATGCCTTTTAATAAAATGTGTTAGTCAGGAAAGGTGCTATCAGACTCCTTCTGATGTTTTGTCACCATAGACTCACGCAGGTCTCCTTCTGCAAAGCATCCATGTATGTGCATGTGTGTTTGAAGGAAAGAAACAAAGATGAAAAGGAGGCAGGGCAAAGAGATGCACAACTGGAAGAGCTTTTAAGGATCATGTATATCAGGAAATGAGCCTGGTCCTAGCCAGCATCTTTCTGTGTGGTATTTCCTTCCTCTGTATTTGCTTATAGGATGTAATGAGTTAGATTGCCTTAAGGCAACTGTAGTTCAGAACTAGTTCCACTTAGCCATTACTGAAAGACTATTTCCTGTCCTATAGAATTTCTATCTTTGCTATGAGATTATGTTTCAAAAACCCATTATATATCTATCCAGCTTCCTCCCATAGTCATATGATTTACTCAACTTTAAATCTAATGATCCTTCTTTGGTAGTAATATGATCCATGACATAAATGTAATGCATTTTTAAGAAAAGCTATTTGAATCTCAAGTGGGTAAGATTGAATGTATGGAAAATTGTTGTATACTATCCCCAAATTCTTTGGACTACTTAAGTTAGTACTGAAAACTTTCTAATAAATATTATGATTGAGAGTTGTAAATCAGAATAATCTTTCAATATCTAGTTATATTAGATGTTTACATTTTACCAGAAAAATTCTTTGAGTGTGGTAGAGCATCTAGCAGTTCCAAAAAAAGGATTAGATATATTCTTCTATATTGAGAAAAATGCAGACAATTAAGTGTGCATTGTTTTCAGTTAGAAATCAGTGTAATTCAGAACAGAGTAAGCCAGATTAAAGACTTGTACTTTTAAATACATACATCAGAATAGCACTTCTGATGTTTTGGGGTTTCTCAAAAAGAGGTATATTCTGTTTACACAGCCCTTGCTTCCCACGATTATATACTGAAGATTGTTCCTACTGTGTATGAAGACATGAGTGGCAAACAGCGGTACTCATACCAGTATACTGTAGCCAATAAGGTAAATATCCCTTTCTGAAAAGGCTTGATTTAATATTATTTTCCAGTCTTGTGTCCATTGTCGCTCTTTCATTGTACACTTGTTTAAAGAGTATCAAATAGCACCCCCTTCTGGAAGACTAGAAAAATGAAAATAAAAAGAAAGGTTGAAGTATTTAACTTACATGAATTTCAGTGCAGTCAACCTCATAGGAATGGAAAATTCTCTGACTTTCACATTTCCCAGTTTACTCTGATAAAGTTTTCAACTCAGAAACATACCCAAACACATAGACAATATGCTTAGACATGAGTATTCAACTACACATTTTCAACTCCATGCCAATGAAGAATATTCTTTGCAGATTAATGTGGAAATGGGATGGATATATGGATGAACACTTGATAATCTGACATAGGCTGCAAGTTGATTGACCCATCATTGCTTCCTGCTTTGCAAGTAGCAGTTTTGTATAGTTGAAGCATGGCTGAATTAATGGATTTGGGGATAGATCTTTCCTATCATTTAGGTTTGTTTTTCTCTGTCTGGGGCTCTTGCTTTCTTTTTTAAAAAATTAATGTTTAAAAATTCCTGTAATTTGCTTCGACTCTGCTAATCTCATGTTTAAAAGAATTTTAGTTTTACTGAAATCATTTGACATAGATTTCCTAGCGCATTACTTCAGAATACTATGCTCCTTTTTAAAAAATTATTATTCCTATTTCTTTTATTGTTTCTCAAGACCTCTCTAATATCCACCTCAATTATTTAGCTCTGAAATTATTCTTGTTGGCTCCAGTTCTGGACAGTTTTGCCATTTCTAACCTTTTGAACTTCAGGAATAAAAATGCTACTTTAGAGTTAATGTCACAGACTCTAGAAATAATCTATTTTCTCTCATAGCCCAGAAAGTTGTAACTGCTACTTTATTGCATAAGAGATGCTAATTTTGTAATATCCAAAAGTTAGATCTTACAAGTTGTAGTCATATGTGGAGTAGACCCTGTGAAATTAGTATCTTAAAAGTCATTACTAGTTTAAGTCCAAATGATTTTGAAGGGCCTGCTCTTTAAATTTAACTAAATCTGGATCCAAATAAACATCTCAGAGACTATCAAGTATCTTGGGGGAAAGTAAGTAGATGCATGCAGAATTCTTAGGTGTCTTTTGCATATACTTGGTGCCTTTCACTCTCTGCCATGCATCCTTTTTCAGGAATACGTAGCATATAGCCACACAGGGCGCATTATTCCAGCCATTTGGTTTCGCTATGACCTGAGCCCTATTACAGTGAAGTACACAGAAAGGCGACAGCCTTTGTACAGATTTATCACAACGGTAAGTAACTATCACCCTCTTGTCCCTACTTATGCATAAGTGGAGTGAATGTGCTAGAGATTTAAATCAGAAAAGAGCTGTAGTCCTGAACTCTTCCCCACATGCATCTAGAAGACAGAAAATTGTTCAGGCAGGAAAATGGGAAGGTATCGGATGCTTTGGCCTAAAGGCTGATACATCCCTGGAAACTATTTTATGCTGGTGATATGTACATTCTGAGCACTTTAGAGGTTTTTCTAGCATTTTGCAAAAGAATCTCAAATTTGTCTTGCCACAATATATTCCCAAACATCATCTCTAATATGCAGAGACTTCTGTTTTCATCACACAACTGTAATCCTGCCCCCGGCCCCCCCGCAACACAATACTAGAATTCTAATTATTGTAATATGGAATTTATCTATATTTGTTCTCAGGGCATGTCTGCACATTGATGTTTTCTTTGCCTTTTTCCCTCATATCACATATTCCTACAGAAATTGATTAGTGCTCACTAAAAAATAATTTCAACTGCTCTTGCTGGTTTCAAGAAAAACTTTTGTTGATCTACACAGGATGATCTGCTTTATACTTCCATCCAAGTTGTCTGTTTTAAGGTAACTTAATGTAATGAAATAAGAGCTTGAAAGGGTGGTTCATCCTTCATTTAGTTTTCACATTTAATTAACTTACTTTTAACTTCTTCCTTCACTCATGGAGGAATTGTGAGAGTGTATACAACAAAATAGCATCTTCTGCTCTCCAGCATTTGCATTGGGGTGGAGATATACATAGTGACTGATACCAAAAAAGCAGACTTGCAAGAAGCTGCACTATATCAAGGAATTGCCTGGCTGTGCTTTCCTGTAGTGAAGCTTTCTTTTTCAATGATATTATATCCCATCATTCTAATCGTAGAGAAAAATGCAGTGTGTTCATTATGAAATCATGACTTTGTGGAACTGTAGTTAGGCACCATCTGGAGGGCCACATATTCCACACTCCTCTGATACGTCATTCAATATAAAACAAAAAAGTACATGTGAATTTGAGTTTTCAATCCTTCCCTTGTAATCTGTGGAACCTTTAATGTGTGTTAGGAGGTGGGGGGAATGGATATATTCTGTGAAGACTTACTGGGCTGTTTCTTCATCATTTTCTATACATTGGGAAGAGAAAAAGGGCAGCACTGAAATCTAATGGCAGCTTCTGCAGAAAGAAGCAAGAAATAGTTTTGAATGCTGATTGGTCTTTTACTTTAGAGCTCTTATTCTGTGCCTTACCATAAGCCTGCTTGTTGCCCACTTGTCCTGGCTTCTGATCTGTTCTATATTATAACAGCAGCTTGCCTGTCTTAGCTTTCTTCTTTTTCTGAATCTACTTCTTTAACCCCAGGATCCCTTTGAACTTCTCACATCTTGGCTTGCTTTCTGATGCTAATGAAGTACAAAGTCAAAAACCAATCATGTTCTTGCTTGAGGTCTAAAGTTCTTCATCCAAGTGATAGTGTCTATTCCTATGTGCTTTAGTGATTGATTTCTCAGAGATACCAGCCTTTTTCTATCTTGACTAGAAATCCTTCTTGCATATACTGCCCTTGCATTTCTGTTATATTGAAATACCACCCTCTTCGCTAGGACAAAACTAAAATAGAGTGGTAGGACAACTATTATCTCAGGCCTTTCAAACCTAGCAGAGTTACTCTCCAGCCTGTCACCATTTTTGCTGTTCCAAGTCTCTACTGCATCACGGTCGCCCTGGAGTTGACTTGGAGTTGTCATGATTATGGAGAGCCTTCTGGCCCAGGCAGAGATTATCCACTTGTGGCAGCTGGTGTTACTGTCAAGTCAGGCAGGCCTCAGAAGCACCCTAGGTCTTGTTTAGCTGCAGGTGCTGAGTTAAAAGCTATAGAGGAGGCCCATGCTAAGTTTTTTCAGCAGTTTATTTACTAAGCTGGACCCAAAGAATTTTCACAGAAGCATGGAGTGTTTTAAAATGAAATCTTACAAGGGCTGTGCAGAAAAGAGTCTAATAGGTCATGTGATATTTTATCTAGGTTTGGAATGAAATACTTTTCTATTATTACCTTGAGAAAATGGAACTCAGTAGTGTCCCTCACTGTGAGAACTTTAAGAATGGCTGTCATGAGGACTAAGATTTATATGGATGTATGCCTATGGATTCTCTGTTTAGGATGCCATTTCCATTATGAAGCTTAAGGTTTATCAAGACATTCAGAGGATTTACTGGCATAGCAGCATTGGAAGGAATAGGGCTCTCTCTGCTGTTAGCTCAGCCACCTGTTTACTGAATCCAGATCCTCCAGATCTGGTCATGAAAGTGGCCAGGGAGGTGATCTATGGTTGGGTCCATGCTGTAGTATCAGCCTCTCTGACAGAAGGGGTGGTGCCCCCAGCCTTGAAAGAGGTGGTGGTGCGCCCCCTCCTCAAGAGGCCTTCTTTGGAGCCAATGGTCTTTGATAACTATCAGCCAGTCTCCAACCTTCCCTTTCTGGGGAAGGTTGTTAAGAAGTGGTCAGTAAGCAGGTGATGAGAACCCTGGAGGAAACAGATTATCTAGACTCATTTCAGGCCAGGATTTAGTACTGAGACAGTTTTAGTCGTGCTTGTTGATGACCTGTGGTAGAGCTGGGATGGCAGTGGTGCATCCATGCTTGTGTTCCTTGATCTCTTGGTAGCTTTCGATACTGTCAACCATGGTATCTTCTGATCCAGTTCCATGGGTTGGGGATTGGGGGCCCTATTTTACAGTGGTCTTCTTCCTTTCTCTGGGGCTGGTTTCAGTCAGTATTGGTAGATGGGGAGAGATTGTTCCTGAGGCCCCTCCTTTGTGGGATCATCTGCCAGTTTGGGGTATGCTGATAATACCCCAATTATATATATATACCCCCCAATTATATATTTCAACTCCAGGCTGACCAAGTGGGGCTGTCGAGGTTCTGTTCCAGGGCCTGGAGACTCTGCAGGTGTGGATGGGGAGGAATTGTCTCTGACTCAATCCTACAAAGGCTGCCCAGATCTGAGGATATTCCATTGTTGACCTTGGATGGGGTGGCACTTCCCCGTTCAAGGGTGGTATGCAATTTGTGGGTCTTCCTGGACTACTGCTCCTGCTTGATGAGCAGGTGGCAGCTGTGGCCAAAAAGGCCTTTGCATAGCTTCATCTGGTGTGCCGGTTGCACCCTTTCTGAGATAGAGGGGGCCTTCAGACAGTCACTCATGCCTTGGTCACCTTGCAGCTTGACTACTGCAACATGCTCTACATGGGGCTGCCCTTGAAGACCACCTAGAAGCTTCAGCTAGTCCAGAATGTAGCCTGCCCAGCCAATTTGATCTGGCAGGGTTGGTGTGCTCTGGGTTCCTGTAATTAAACAATGCTATCTTTAGGGACCCTGGAAGTGTGCCTTCTCTGCGGTAGGGTCTGCCGTCTGGAATGAGTTTCCCTCCTACTGGTGTTTCAAAAGGACCTGAAGACCTGGCTTTTCACCCAGGGCTTTGGCGGGTGTGATTGAAGCTCCCTTTTCTTTGTTCCCATCTAGGTTTGTTATCTCTACCATCTTTGCTCTTTTTTGCTTTGTGTTGTTTTCTTGTTTTAAATATTTTTAACAATTTGTAAACTGCTGAGAATTGCTAGGAGTTGGGTGGCATATAAATTTATTTATTTATTATCAGAGTTATTTTTTAAAAAGTATTCTGCATATTCATCGGCTCAATATAAAAGGAACTAGAGACACTTATTTACTTGTTTTTGTGACTTGTTTTTGCACAGGTTCAGAATAGTCTTTTGGCCTAGTCTTGCTTATGGATTGTTGTAGAGCCATGAGATAGTGATGTCTCATCCAATAAATACCCTAGCTCATTAATTATTGAAGTGAAATGGTGGCTATCCTAACATATCCCAGTTGTTTCTACCTGTTCAGAAGATTCTCTGTGTATAGGAGTATTTAATTTTATAAACAAAAGTGGAAATATATTTTTCTTATGTTTAGAAATGTGAAGTCATATTAATAGAGGCAAAGTCGTATTTTCCTGCTTTGATGCACCAAGTACATCTCCTCTCTCATCTTGTGGTTTAAAACCTCCTGTGTCAGCTGATCTGTATCGGTTGAAGTTACCTAACTCATTCTGCTGTCATATTCCCTGAAAAGTAACTTTGCATCACTTTTGGTAGAAGAGAGGGTAAATGAATTGAGAACAGTAGTTGTGGAAAACATTTTCAGCTCTGTAAAAAAAGAAATGTAAAGGGATCAGTTTGTTCCCTTTTTTTTTTGGTGGTTTTTATTTCCCAGAATTTCAGCTATGCTTTGAAAAATGCATTAACTTATTTTTTTTTCACAGAAACATATTTCCATTTCACTGAGCTCATTGGACACAAATATCAGAATTAAAAATATACACAGAAATGAGCAATTCCTCTCTCACTGCTTCTGTTATTGCTATTAAAGTCTTATATAATCTTATTCCAAGTTCCCTTCCCAATTTAATGATTATTCTTTTAGGTGGCCATCTCAGTGTCACATGTCCTTTGTGGGAGAGTGATAACCCTTTAATTAAATTTAATATGTAGCCCAAATATATAATGCAGCCTTCCTAACTTGGTGCCCTGATGGCTACAATTGCCATAATCCCTAGCCAGTTTATGGGATTGAGACCAACACATCTGGAGGGCATCCAGTTAGAGGAAGACTGCTATAATGTCTATTCAGAAGTAAATTCCATTGTATTCTGTAGAACTCATTGACAGCTAATACGCATAGGATTACAGTCTTGCATTACATCAATCCTATGCATGTCTACTCAAAGTAAGGCACACTGAGTTTAGTCAGATTTGCTCTTAAAAAGGCGATTAAAGAATGCTACATGAACAGCACCAGACAGCAGTGACTAGAAGCAGTCACAATGGAGAGGGGAAAGAAATTGGCAGAATGGGAAGCAAATTTCATTCCAGTGTAGTTTTCTGCTGATACATGGATGGGTTGATTGCATTAGTATTTGGTAGTTGGGAAGATCCTTAGTCTCAGTGCTAAATGCTATATTGGGCACTAAAATGACATGATCTCAACCTAATGGAGTTCTAATCTAACCAGGAAGAACAAGATGAAAAGTAGAAAATGGGTTGTGAATCACCTGTTAGCAAATTCTTTAGGGGTGTATTAACTAAGATCAAAAGAATTCAGGAAAAAAAAACCTAAGGTGTTTTATATTGTATTTAAGAAAAGATTGAAATATTCATTCAGCTCATTGACTAAACTTGTATCTAACTTCACTAAAAATAACCTAACAAAAACCAAGCAGAAGCTGTATGCCTGAGGAGATCTTTCTGAGGTTGATGGGGGAGGGGGTTAGGGGGCAGGGAAGGCGAACGGCACTCAGTGTTTCCTTTTTCTTTACCCATTCCAGATTTGTGCCATCATTGGTGGAACGTTCACCGTGGCTGGGATTCTTGACTCCTGCATTTTTACAGCCTCTGAAGCCTGGAAAAAGATCCAACTAGGAAAGATGCAGTAACAAAACAATCTTCCCCCTAGTCTTGTGAGAAGAAGCAAGGAAGGAAAAGCCCACAGCTATCAATTTTTCTTCATATCATTTCAGTTGGCATATGTCACACAAGTTGTTGGAAACATTATAAGGGAGCAGAAACAAATAAACAATCTGCCACCCAACAAATCATAATCTTTGAAAGTTAGCAACACTTGCAAGGGAATGTGGTTTTATTTGTACTATTCTCATTCAATGTTTTTTGAGGTTTGTTATCTTTTATGTTTTAAAACTAGATCTGATGGATCTAATTGGTATAATTCTGTTTTAAAATCTCAGAAGGTGACTTCAGAGAAATCAGATTTTACCCAAGAATTATGGAACTGAACAATCATACTGATTTTACTGAACAATAATACTGATTTTAATAACATTTTGACTTAAAAAATAAACCTAGCCCAGATATTTAGAACAAAGTCTATTGATCTTTTTGCATTACATATTTTCTAGATGAGTAGAAACAAAGGATCTATGGTCTAGTTATATTTTTGGCAGGCTGAGAAACTCTTCCTGGGTGACCATTTAAAACATTCAGTCTTCCCAGGATTTGATTCTCCAGCACAGTTAGCTGAAAAACAACTGTGTTTCTTTTATTCTTCTGGAATGTTAAAATATTTTTACTTATTTCCAACAACATTTGGTCAATGATACAGGTGACATAAAATAATAGAAACAATTAGAAAAAATGAAGGAATATAAATAAGCCTCATTTGTAAATAAAGCAGATTATATGTTTCTGTATTTGTGAGGCTTTCTCTTTTTGAAACTCAGATCATTAAACTGTCCAGGTCAAAAATTTCAATTTAAAGGGGGAACAGTGGAGATAATACTTAGTCAATACTCAAAATGGGTAGAAGAGCATCATGTTAAATAGAGGAACATCTTCTGTAAATACTGGAAGTAGCCTTTACCTTGGGGAAGTCAAGTTATTGCACAATAACTTGCTCATCTTTAAAATGTTAATTTGCAAGCATTTGCCAAACTGACAACCTTAAAGACAAGCATCTACTTTGCTGATTCTTAAGAGATAGGTACCACACTGTATAAAAGAAAACACATTTTCTATGTGAACATCTTCTTCCGTATGTGTTCTAAGTATAAAATAATAGTTTGTCCCATTCTGCAGGTGAATGTGGGGAGAAAATGATAAGGCAAAAATCATGCAAGTTAATAGTTTTTGATATGGTATTGACATTGGTTCATAGGGACTTTCAATAAAATCCACCAATTTTCATAGACTTTTGATATATGACCTGTTATAATTTTGGCATGTTTGTACATTTTATATCACTTAAGATGGATACAAATGATGTGTTCTCTAGCTTTGCTGTACCTTTAAAAGAAACAGTAAGATTTCTGACATTACAATTTGGAAACAGTAATTATTTTGCTGTCAGAATGACATGTGGTCTTTTAAGGGTGACCTTTTTAGAATTTGAAAGTGTCAAATCTATATGCTGTGATTAAACTGCTTCGGTCCAGAAGTACTTTATATGTTGTTCTATGCTTCTTGGAAGTAAATCCCATTAAATTCAGTGGGACACACTTGTAGACATGTATGCTCCTTCAATTTGCCCAACATGTCTATTTTTACTTTGTTGTAGGTGTAGAGAAGATATTAATTTCTTTCGTCTTAAAATTCTTGCTTTTTTTTTTTACCATCCTTTACTTTCCTGGATTTTCTATAAAATATATTTAGAATTTCCCACTATTTTTTGTAAGAGATACTTATTATCTTGGTGGATCTTGTATTATTTGGATGGATTTTATACGTTGTTTTTTTTTATTTGTAAAAATCAAGCTGAAAACAATACACGCATATTCATTTCTGATTGCCTGTGCCTTTCTCCCATGGAAATGAAGATGGGTTTTTTTGAGGTGGAAGTTTTTGCCTGTTGCAGTGTTTTACTTTGCTTCAGATTTCCTTGTAATTTATCATTAAGAAAAAGATGAATGTAAGATGATGCTAAATCAACATATGAAGAGTATTGGCTTAATTAATTAAGTAAAAATATTTGAACAGCTCCTAATATCTTTAAGAAGAAGCCCTACTCAAAACTGAGATCACTTTTTTGCTAGATCTCAGGAAAGTGTTATTTTGATTTTGGACTCATCCACTGGTGTGATTTAGTCTAACAGCATGTCCATGAAAGTAGCAGTGAATTTAGATTTCTGTCATTTCCTTATACTGGGAGAACAACATCTATTCCAGTGCTAATTCTGCGGGAAGGGTATTAGTTACATGTCCTGGTGGTTGTGTTTTTTTAAATACCACTGCTAAGTCAAGAGAAGTGAATTTGTTCAGTGTATGATACCTTTACTCTTCTAAGGGGAACTACCATCAACATTCCCAGTCTCATGTGGTAAAGCCTCAGTCAATCATCTCCCTTTTTACTTGCTCTTGGTTAAAAACTTATGAAAATGCAAGGGAGCTCTGCCTAGGAATTTGGCAGGAGTTCATGCCAAGTCTGCACTACAGCAATCATACATCATTTGTACAGTCCCATCAATGCCTCCTTGGGTCCAGCTCAAACTTTCTGCATCCCCAGAGTGGAAAGTATGCTTAGAAAACACGATCCAAATCAAATGCGTGGAACCTTTTAAAAATGCCTTATTGTAGCTTGAGAAGGATCGTTCACAGCTGTGAAAGGAAGAGAAACGAGCTGTTTCTTTAGTCTTGCTGCAGTCTCTTCCGTTCCCCCATCACCAGTACCCATCCACCGACCCCCGAGCACACAAAACTCCAGTAAGACTTTTCCTGAAAGTCTGATTTCTGAGTGAGGGGAAGGTTGAACCGGGGGGGGGGAGGCAACCACGAGAGACACAAAGTGGGCGGCGGAAGAACGGAATGTGGTGAAAGAGCCTGAGTTGAATGGACTAATAAATAGGCTGCAGGTTTCGCGAATGGAAAGAGAAACAATGAACGGATGAATGTGATATGAGCCTGAACGCAGCATTAGAAAAAGAAAACGCGTCGATAATGCACGAATTCGGAGGCGCAACCGCGGCTGCTCGTTTTCTCGGATGGACGCGAGGTGGCGCAGACAATCATCTCTCCACTCGAATATCCTCAGGCGGCAATTCTCGCGAGACCTCGAGGAAATCTCACTAGAACCGGCGGAAGTAGAACCAAACTCTTTTTCCGGGAGGCCATAGCCGAGTAAGCTGCAGGTAAGGACTACAGGAAGGAGCGGATTTTTGTAATCCGTTGTCATCCGTTCGTTGGAGGGAGACCCTCTGTTGCGATTTGTGAGGACATATAAAAAGCGGGGAGTCCTGTGTTGCAGCACCTGTATTTTAAGCAGTAGAAACTTCAGAATGTCATTTCCACGGCGGTCCCCTGTCCGCCGCTCTCCCCTCCTTTCCTAGGGGCCTACTAATGTCTGGTGGGCCCCGTAAACTACTCCCTGGTAGAAGTGCTGTTCTTGACAGGGGATGACGCCGTCAAGCTGCTGCTAGTGTCATTTGGGGGCGGCTGTTCAGTCTCAGCTAAGTGATAGCTTAGAACAGTAAGCAGTTCAAATCGGTTCGGAGGTAGCGTGCCTTTTTTCGCTTTAAGTGCAGTTTTTTATTTCAATACTTATGTCCTCCGGGGTTGATGCTGGGGAAATGAGCTTTTTTTTAAAAAAAATCGTCTGCTACTCGTCTTAATCAAAGTGTTAAAATTATTTATTTGGGGATAGTTATGACTGCTGTGGTATTTCAATAAGTTAATAATCTTATATAAGATTGCAAAGAAATAAGATATACTGAACATAGTGAAATTTCTGAATACATCTGTTTAGGATTTTTTTTCAAAGTTTGGTCAATATTATGTTCTTGTTATCAGGTTAATAATTGAACTTTTTACTTATTTTAAGAGATGGGCAGCATATAAATTTAATAAATATAATGGCAAATGTACATATAGGAAAAAAGCTGTTTACTGTAAGTAGAATAATACTGTCTAGCAAAGCCAGTGAGCTCTTACACGAATGTACTGGTATTTAGAAATATTATACTGAAGATTCATAACCTCAGACCTATATGGAGAGCATTTTATAGTGTTAGAGCAGGAAAGAAATAAATTTTTGATATGTTTTCATTCAGTTGTTGTACCCCCACCCAAATGTCAAAAATGCAAAAGCAGCTTCAAGTTCCCATTTGTATAAGTGGTGTTATCTACATATTCTGACAATAATATACTCTTGGGTTAGAAAATACTACTATTATATCTGCACAAACTCTAGTTATTATTGCAGTTACTTAATGAATATTTGCACATTGCAATCATATATTTCTCAATGAATATTCAGTTATATAACGTGTATTTTCTGCAGTCAAAATGAAGTTCAATCCATTTGTGACTTCGGATCGTAGCAAGAATCGCAAACGGCACTTCAATGCTCCATCTCATATTCGGAGGAAGATTATGTCTTCACCCCTCTCCAAAGAATTGAGGCAGAAGTACAATGTTCGCTCTATGCCCATCCGAAAGGATGATGAAGTTCAAGTATGTGAAGCTATCTCTTTCTTATATGAATATTAATGAAATCCATAACCAATTAAAATAATATAATACAAGGGAAAAATAATAACCACGGCACTACATAACAATTCCATAAAACAGATATGTAAACTGGACTCCCCTAACACTTGGGGAAGAGCCAGGTTTTAACAGCCTTCTGGATGGCTAAGAGGGTTGGAGTCTGAATCTCAGGGGGAGGTTATTCCATAGGGCAGGTACTGCAGCAGAGAAGGCATTATAAACTCATTTATAATAGGTTCATTACAGCAGAGTTTCTGAATTGAAACCTTTCTTCCCAGGTTTCTTGTCACTTGAGTTAGCTTGCTGTTTAAGATGTAAACTGCTGATGGATTCAACATCTGTCTCTTGATTGTTTATATCTACTCACTCCTCCATTTCTTTCCCAGCCTCCCCACAATCTCACAGGCATAGTTGTTTTAAGGAACAGTAAACAGATGATATATTTACTCCCTCTAAAGCACATTCTTGCCTTCAAATCTGCAGTGCTACACAATTACAAAACTACTACTACTGAATTACTATATCATGAGTGTATGAAATCCTATTATGCATTCACAGATCATTCTTAAACTTGTACTTCCTGCTATTAAATACCTTAATTTTGTAAGAATTATATTAAAATGTAATATTATTTTAAAGAATAACAGAGATATGTTTATTTCTAGGTTGTTCGGGGCCATTATAAAGGACAGCAGATTGGCAAGGTAGTCCAGGTATATAGAAAGAAGTATGTTATCTACATTGAGCGTGTACAGCGTGAGAAAGCTAATGGCACAACTGTACATGTGGGCATTCACCCTAGCAAGGTGAGTTTTAATCAGATGATTATTTACACACGCACACACACACGTGTTATAATTATATAATGGTAATTATTAACTTCAAAAAAGAATTAATGAAATGGAAAGTTGTACAGAAGCATAATAAACCGTGATATGGGCTTATTTAATGTATTGAAGCAGGCAAAGCAGATACACTTTGGGGGAAAAATTAACTGCAGCAGTCTTTGTATAATTATTGATTGTATGAGGCAGGGAGCAGGTGGAAGAGGAACAATATAGTTGGTTTGGACCGTTGTTTAATTCCCAGAGGTTATTTTGATTACCAGTCTTCTAAGAAATGGCTTGTAAAAATATAATTGATTTTAAGGTTAAGTTGCTGTAATTAAAAAGCATATTCCAGGCAAAGGCCTTTTTTGTTGGTGAGAAACAAAATATCATTGACTGAATGCTCACTTACTAGAAAATCTTTTAATAGAAAAATATAGATTAGCCTTCCCCTATATTTTCAGTAAGGGTTTGCTGGCTGGGAATTCTGGGGTTTTAAGGTTCATACATGTAAGAACGCCTGTATTTAAGACATCCATCTTTCATATAGCTGGTGTAGGAGAATATTTAATTCCCCTAAAACTATTTTCTTAGTATTAGCAAAACAGAATTACTTTGCTTGGGATTTTGTGATTGTACATATTAAGTTCTGAAATTAAAGTTGACTTCAGTTAAACAAGTCCTGGGTAGTACTTGGATGGTAGACCATCAGGAAAACCCAGCGGTGTTGGTTAGACCTAGAAGTTGAAAAAACATTCCAGAAGAAGGCAGTGAACAAACCAGTTCTGTACTGTTGCCAAGATGTATGTGAAGTCACCAGGAATTGAGATTTCCTCCCAAGGGGTTCACATTTTATCTCTTCAGCTTTTTCTTTTTTTCATGTTGAATACATTTTGAAGAACATGCTAGTGTGTTTTCTTGATGCTAATTCATTAGGAATATGTGTTATTCCTAGAGAACGTAATTGGTAAGAATCAGGTAAGATGAGATTGTACCCAAGGCAGCAAGCAGAATTTCCATTAGAGTAACTAATATGTTCTGTCTCTGCATGAGAGAATGCCTCTTGATGCTTGTGTGGATGAGAAAAGGCAGCAAGAATACATTTCTTGCTAATTTATTTATTGAAATTATAGTGCCACCATTGCAGAGATACATTTTTAACCAAAGCATTGTATTGCTAAATGATTCTAGATCTG